AGACTCTTATCTTACAACAAAAGGCGGTCTGGTGAAATCGATGCCATCAGGTAATTGTCACCTCCTTGTACTCGAGATCTATCAAATTGGAAATTCAAATAAGACAAATTTCTGTTTGAAGTTTCTAAACTATTTTTATTACGTTATGTGTTAAGTCACTCTCTTAACATTCTTAAACGGGGGTTAATTTGAATTTAGAAATTTTGCTATTATTACAGGATTGTCAAGTTAATTTACAAGAAATTATGATTATCTCTCTAGTATGAATCATGAACTTTTTAATGTTGCCCGTATTACTATAATTTCAGTTTGAGAAGCTTTTTGTCAAGAAGGAAAGAACTGTCAGATGTGGATCAAAGTCTAATTGGGGAGTTGTCCTTATTAGAAAAACATCTTTTGGAATCCCAAGACCTTATGATAGTGCGTGGAAAGGTAAAGCTATATCTGCTATAATGTGTAGATATGTGTCAGATAAATTGATTAAAGGAAAAAGTATCGTTATATTTTCTATAATTACTTGTGAAATTTCCTATTGAGTAAAGATTTATTTAAAGTTGGATAGGCGAATATTTCATTAAAAAGTATTTTTTTCAGCGAGGAAAACCAGTTCCTGTTATAATCCCTGATGATTGCAGAAAACCTTTAGAATTTATCGTTAATGCTGATGTTCGTGAAAAAGCTGGAGTAAACAAAGATAACAGATTTCTCTTTCCAAATTCAGGTAAAAGTAATTATAATAGCCATCTTAATTTGTAACAAACTAAAATAGTAATGTCTGTCTTATCACCATCTTTATTTGTGCTATATGACACACAAAAACTTGAAATGATGTCGAGCAAACATGGATATATATATATATTTTATGTACATAATATATTTTCTACATTGAAAAGTTACATCGGCAATCACATTATTTTCATAGTTAAATATATTAATTGTCGATTTACATGTATATTGTTAAATTTCAGTAAATGGAGCTGTGTGTTTGAAGTGTTTCAATGCGAAAATACACTTCAACACTTACACAGGTAATCTACTTTTGTTTATTTCGACAAAGAGATTTTAAATGGTTTTAATTTTTACCCCTTTTGTGCACATCCTCTGTAAAGTAAAAAGCAGTTTGAATCAGATGTGAAGTGATTTTCTGCTATTTTTCAATACAGATGTAACGATTATCTTTATCTTTATCTAAGGTTATGGATTTGAATAACAACCAAATGGATTGGCTTTGTAAGCATCTTGGACACACCAAACGTGTACATAAGGACCATTACCAGCAAATGAGTGGGTTTATTGAAAGGGTGAAAATAAGTAAGCTTCTTCTGGTTCAAGATTTGAACCTCACAAGCAAATTGGCTGGAAAGAAACTGGATGATATATCTCTCGAAGGTAACATCTTAACTGACTCCAGCTATCTTTTTTAAATGCTTTATGTTTGATTAAAATGAAATTATTGGCTTTCTAAGTTTAATATAGAGCTGATCAACTTAAGCATTATAGATATTAAGTGCTAGATGACATGTAGGTCGCCATAATGGATAATCCTGTGATCTCATATTGAATCAATTGTCAGTGTTAGTAATCATACATTTAATACTGCTATTTCAGATTTAATTCTTGAAGGATCTGTTGATACATCAAATGTACAGAATATAGAACTT